TGATTTAATTTACAAATATTAATGCAAATATGATATTGAGCCGGACTAGTTGCAAATATGTAGAATGTTAAATAGTTCATCTCTTATGCGTATGTTGCCTTTTTAAAAATTAAGTTGCCAAATCAAAGATAAAGAGCAAAAGATAAAGATTTAGGCTTTAATACATTGCTCTATATATATTTTGGCTGTTAGGCTTGTGTTGTAGCATGTGCCTACTGGCTTTCACATTCTTTGTGCTCGTACACTTATCTAAAAGAATAAGATATGAGCATGGTTTGTCCGGAAGTTAAAAAGCACGTGAAGCGTTCGATGCGCATGCGAGTGGTTGAAATGTATGTAATCAAGTGGAATAGCATTGGAGTTTTTTCGATGGTATTGATAAAAACAGTTTTTTTTTTTTTTTCTCTAAATCTCCAAAAGCCAAAAGGCCTATTGGTTATTTTTTCAAGATAAGTCAAAGTCTGATTTTTTGGTTGACGCTTTGAATAGTGACATGCCAACTGGATAGTTGTGAGAACAAGGCAATTTTATTCCTATGACTAAATCAAGATATATGTATATAGCCAGATGTATTAATTAATGGAATCAAAGTTTGGTTGGGACATAGAAATCACACTCTGGTTGGGGCCTTGGCAAGGTAACCCATATCTTCATGTGTATACAAAGTGACTAAACTCCCCTAAAGTTGTCATGGCATGCCACCTTTCTACACAACTATTCATGAGAATCTTTCACAAATCAAACCCTACTATTACCAAAATATTGCAAATAATTAATAACAGCAAAAGGAAAAAAAGAAAAAAACTCTTTTATCATTATTGACAAAGAATAAGAGTATTGTTTGTGCTATTTATGTGAAATGTTGAATGCCTATCTATATTACATTATTGAGCCAAGTTAAATGGTGGACACTTAAGTTTACAAAGATGGGTGCGGTTTGTATAGAGCCGAGGCTCTAAACAATCAAATTTGAGCCCACTTTCAAATAGTATAAAGAAATATGGTTTCAATATTAGAGATGCTTTAAATATATTTTCATCTTTAATTATAAAATTTAAAACTTCAAAAATAATGTAGATCAAGTAGATCTATGAAAACTTGAAAATCTTGAAAATTGACGGTCAAAAAATGCGATACAAGATGCACTATTTCCAAAACTTGACATCCATTTTTTTCTCATGTCCATGCATCTTGATGTCGAGATGATCAATTTGATGTTATTTGGGTATCAAAACAACATCATCTAGTGATATTTTTGAGGTAGGCTATAATTTGATTGTTAAGAGCCTAGGCTCTATTTAAACTTTTCTCTATAAAGATTGGAGGGCACATTCGGTGTGGAAGAAAGAGAAATAAAGCAAGGCACCTATTTTAGAGATCACGATTCTTATGGGAGATAATAAAGTCTAAGTTGAAATGGTAGTTGCTATCACTTGGGTGTTGAGTGAGAGAGATAAATAAATAGAAAGGTTGTGATTTTCGAAGGAAAAAAACTAAAGGGTAATATATAATAACGATTCTTATGGGACAGGTTTTTGGTAGTTTTGATAGAGTTGGATTTCCTTGATTTGTAATTCCAAACTTTATGTGAATGAAATCTAATTTAAAATGTTAGTTGCTATTACTTGAGAGTTGAGAGAGAGATAGATTCTTCATTGTTGAAAATAATCAAATTAAGAGAGATAACGATTCTTATGGAAGAGAATAAAATCTAATTTGAAATGGAAGTTGCTATAACTAGAGCATAGATAGAGAGAGAGAAATTCCTCATTGTTGAAAATAACAAAATCATCTAAAACTAGGCACCATTGCTATTCTTATATATTACTTTATTTTATAAAAGTTTGGAGAATAATTTTATTTTATAGAATACTCTAATAGCAATATAACGCTAGGATATACAAGGTAATTTTCAGAGTGTTGTTTATCTATCAACTTTTGTAAACCATTAACTATTAATTTTCATTATATAAAGGAGAAAACTCTAAAAATATAGTAAGAGAAAGGAAGAAATAGAGAAATACAAAACATATAAAATGTGCACTCTATATTTCAAAGGATGATCAACCTAGGCTTCCAAAACACATCATTATCAAAAACTTCAAAATATCCTCTCTCTCTCACACACACAGCTTGATCATGAAATATTACTTTTTTTTCAAGATTGTGCTCCAATCGCTTTTAAAAGGGGAGCAAATAAAAACACAAGTTTACAACTATCAAGACTACTAAAAGGGTGTGGTTATAAGGAGGCAACCTTAAACAATCAAAATAGGGTGTGCTACCAAATTTCATCACACACCACCAACTTTCATCACAAGATGTAATTTTGATGTGAAAAATTCTTAAGATGGCCTCAAAATCCATTTTTGTCTCAAATTATAAAATTTTAGGCTAAAAAAATAGTTCAAATCAAGTAGATCTATACACATAAACTTTTGAAATTGGACAATCCAAATAATATGTTGTAATATGCACTAGTTTTGGGACTCGATTTTTGCTTTTCATATTCATACATCGTTCAACTTCACATCCTTCTGCAATGGATTTTTTTGAAAAAATACGAGCTTCATTAGGGTAATGAAAGATACAAGGAAAAGGAATCAAAGCAAAAAAGAAAAAAGAAGGGGAAGAAAATAGGGAGGGAGAAAGATACGGAGAATAGAGAGAGAGGCCCCTAACCAGTTAAGAAGTAGCCTCATTAGTTGGGGAATCCGCCGTAAAGTTAAATTCACATAGAACATGAAAAAAGCATACCTCAAACATAGAAGTTATATCCTCCCCTTTATCCAATCGTCCATTCTGAATGGAGGGTTAAGATCCCCAATCACAATGTCACGTCTCTATACTATTTTATTTTTAAGTTTTTTATTTATAAACTATTTTGACACCGATATTTGGACGTCCATTCCTCTATTAAACTATCACTAACAAAAAATATAAAAAAAATATTTTTAATAAAAATAACCAAAATACCCTTGAAAGTTTCAAGGGGTATTTTGGTCATTATATTTTATCAAAAAATTATTTTTAATATTTTTTTATAGGTGCACCCCAATGAAAAGATGGCATATACCAAATTTCATATTGATACAATTTGTGTAAAAAAAAACTAAAAATGAAATACTTTAAGACGTCAGATCTAAGATCAAACGGTGAGTGACTCCCTTGATTAAAATTAGACGGCTGGATGGTAGGGGAGGATAGAACTTCTATGCTGTAGAGGAAGCATATAAACCTTTTCTTATAGTTTATGTGCAATCCAAGGACTTAGAAATTTTTTTTCCAAACAATTCGAAAGTGGGGTTCCTTTTCCTTTTAGTTGGATGGCGAGATTTAGTAAGTTTTATCTCAAAATCTGGGTACTGAGAATAATTTAAGTCCTAATGAAGATTTTGCTTCAGGGGATTAATAAACAATTTGCTCCTGCAAAGCATATAATATTTTTGAGAGAAAAAAAAAGTATAAAGAGGACTAAACAAGGTTTTTGTGGTGTCCCATAAACTAGACCATTGGCATCCACTTCCAAGGATGGCCCAAGAAAATCAATGATAGGTGGGACCCTATTAAAGCAATGGAGGGACCCACACCTCTTTATTTCCAACCCATGGAGAATGGATGGCCCTTATTTTTTGAGCTCATGTGATTATTTATTATTAAAGTTTGCAAAGGCCCTTACACATCATATATTCCTAAAAGAGCGTGTACTCTATGCTCCCAAGAGAGCAATAATGTGCATCTACTCCCTTGGTTAGAGGATCTACTTAAGTGAATTTTTTTAAAATTTTGAGAATCTCCTCAGTAATTACTAGATTGTTATTCGCAAAAGAAAAGAAATTGAATTTTGAGTTTCCTAACAAATAGGTCTCACCTATTAAAAATTGGACGATCTCTATTCAATATTGAATCATAATTTTCTCAGTACATAGAGGGTGCAATTAGATTTTTTATTTTTTTTATTGAAGTTAATCTAGAGGTTGAAAATGTTACATCCTTAGAATTTAAGTTCCTAAAATTAATCCTTAATAGAGCTCCACTTGAAGGAGTAAATGGATAGTACACTCCCATAGGAATATAAGATTCCCCAAGTGTGTTAGAAATGGGACTCAAAAGATCATGTTGTGTCACCTGACCACTAGCCTGGAGCTCATTTCGAAGTATACGATGATTAGTACTAGTGTCACAACAAATAGTTGAAAGGCCATCTCGGTCGTTAATCAATGGATTTGATGATGATGGAGGAAATACGGGCCCCACCGAACATAACACGAACTTGGTGATGCGTCCTGTTCTTTGTACATCATCGTCCAAGGCAATGAATAAGTGGCGATGGGAACAACGTGGGCCCTGGCAAACTTATAATGAATTCTATAGCCATTCTTGCTCTATCACCTTCTAATAGATTAATTAAACGGGGATAACCCAAGACCGCATTGTTATAATGATCACATATATTATTCTGAGAGAGGAACACTGGTAAAGTAAATATTTCGAAAGATATTATACTACCTTTAGGAGTGTAATATCCATTACTCCGCCATATAAAACTCTATCTAAAATTAGTTTTAAGACCCCAAATTTTGGAGATGTATTCTCTTCAACCCACATGTTAACTTTGGTAAAAGATTTTCCTAATTGCACCCTATGTGCTCTTGAAAAAAATGTCTCGAGAGTGAATGTAGACCGTCCAATTTTTTGATGATAAGATTTGAATGATAGAAAAATCAAAATTTTAATTTTTTTTTTTTGAGAATAATTATGCCGTAATTCTTAGGTGATTCCTAAAATTTTGAATTGGAAAAATTCCTCCAATTCTGATCGAGGGAGTAAAATGTATATTATACTCCCGCGAGCTCCATAAATATTTCTAAGAAGGCTAGGGGTAATTTGGCCATTTTTGCCCGGCAACAAGGGACGAATTTGTCTGAATTTCCGTCGAATTTAGCAAAATTTGGTTTTCCATATCTGTTAAATACCAGGCGGTTAGAGAGAGAGAGAGTTAGAGAGAGAAAGAGGAGAGAGAGAGAGAGAGTTAGAGAGAGAGAGGGAAAGGACGCAAAGCTGGTGTCTGGAGAATCAACCTAATGGCGTATCGCAGGAAGCATTCGGGAGGCCGGACCTGGCAAAATGACCTATCTGCTCCTCCTGAGGAGAATTCTTCTTCCTCTTCTGCTTCCTCTCTCGCTGCTCAAGCAATCAGGGCTTCTTCAGCTCACAAGGATTCCTCTCTCTCTTCGGCTTATGGGGAATCGGCTCTCCATTCTGCGTATAGACAGAGGCTTTCGCCTTCGAGACAGGTCCTGATCTCTCTAGCTCTCTCTTAGTACATATTTCTTCTCTCTTATGCAGAGGTTTTTAAATTGAATTTGGGTTTTTAAATTGAATCAGTTATCTATGTATTGGATTATTGGAGCGACCTCTATCTCTCTCTTAATTTTTGTGGCTTTTTTCATGGAATTGATTCGATTGGGTTGGATTTTTTCATGGAATTTTTTTGTTGGATTTTGTATAATTTGGTTTTCTTTCATGTAACTAGTGATAAATGTACGGAATTATTGGAAACAAAGGAAAAATGATGGCCTTTCTCTCTCTTTCTCTCGTCATTTTGATGGGTTTTGTCCATGGAATTGATTTTTATGTTTGAGGGATTTCCGAGTTTTGCTCGAATTTGAGTTTCTTCAATGGAATTAGGAAAACTACTGAAGCCGCAAATATGATTTTTATGGAGGTCACCCAAGATGACATCTGGGAGTGTTATGTATCACATATTATTGGAGAAAAAGGGAAAGAATGATCTCTTTCTATTGTATTTTGAATTATTTTGATGACTTTTTTTTTCATGGAAGTGATTTGTTTGTATGGCATTTTTTTTTTGCTTTTTGGGTTTTGCTAAAATTGGAGGATTATTTATATGTGCCATGTGATCTCTGTCTTGAATTATCTGAAGCAAAAGGAAAATAATGATCTGGTTCTGAGTTTTGCAGTGGATGTTGATAAATGGCTGTTTCTGTCGATGTTGTTGGTCCAATTGTTTTATTTTTTGATGAATTTGTCAAAAAAGATTAGGTGTATCTCTTTTCTTTTTTTTGGAATCGATAATTTCTGCTCAAATGTATATTGTCACTTATTTGAACATATACACACCATGATATTTAGTTGGGTCCTTGATAGTTACTTCTTCAAATTCTCCCAAAAAAAAAAAAACAAAAACAAAAAATTATTCAAAAAAGAAAAAGAAATACCAAATTCGTAATAATTCTCCCCTGAAATGTATCGATGAACTTTCCCCTTAGGTGACATCCATCTGAATTTACTGCATTTTTTGTGGATATAATGGATGCTTATGCAATGGAATGGATTCATTCACGAGAATATTTTCAGATTTCACTAAAGGGTTTTCTCTGTTGGATAAATGATCTTTATCCATAATTGTAATGGGTGAAGAGAAATAAGAGAAAAAAGGATGAGTTGGTCCAAGAAAAAGGATGGAGGATCGCTATAGGGGATTGATTGCGATCTGTGAATGCTCAGTGATCTTTTATGTAGGATGAAGAATTTGATGGATAAATGTGGAAAACCTTTGCAATGGGATTTATTTATTTAATTTAAGGTGTGTCGGATTTGACTTGGACTTTCATTCTATGAGACTGATGATACTTTTGACTGATCCCCGTCCTTAACGAGTATTATTTTTGTCATGATGCCATTTATTTAATTTTCTAAATTTATTGAAAAATGGTTGAGAGAAGCTTAGGAATTGAATAACTGAATTTGTGTGCTTTTTTTTTCTAGTTTTTGTGAGAATATTGGATTTCTATGCTACCGATTTTTTGTGTTTGAGGTTCATTGCAATGTATTTTTCTGATTGGATATGATGTTATTTTATCTCTTCTTGTAATTCTTGGAAATTGAATGATTTTTTTTAGCGAACCTTTTCTAGATGTTTGAATAGGGCTGCAAACGGGCCAGGTCCGGGTTAGGTCAACCTTGATCCGGATCTGAATTGAGTGGGTCCAAGTCAGTTGGAAATGACCTGACCTGTTGGGTTGGGTTAGGTTGGGGCTGATATATATATATATATATATATACACACACACATGGGAGGACATAGATGGAGTAGTCTAAGACATACCAAATAGAGAGAGGACTTTTTTAGGAGGGGACCTAAATGGGCATGTAAGGAAGGATACTAGAGGATATAAAGGGGTACATGGGGGATATGGGTTTGGGGAAAGCAATGAGATGGGGAGGGGGAGACTATTCTAGATTTTGCTAGGGCCTACGACCTAGCAATAGAAAACACTTACTTTTATTTATTTATTGGTAGAGTTAACTGTTTCATTGAATAAAGAAAGAAGTAAATACAAGTGTTGGGTCTAGCGTCCCTTACAATAGAAAACACTTACCTTAAAAAGCGAGATGATCATGTAATAACCTATAAAAGTCGATCACATAAAAGCCATATAGTCTTCTTCCTAGTTAAGAGGATAGATCGACCATCATGTAAAGACTGCAAGGGTTATCCCAAGAGAGAGTTTGACTACCCAACATAAGCTCGTGGTTATGGACGTCTGCATAAAGACATGGAAGAGAAGGGGTGAAAGTAATGGGTTTCTAAGAACTAGGTGGTGGAATTTTAAAAATGAGAAAATAGACTTATTTAGGGATAAATTTGTTAAAGAAAGAAAATGGAACTCTAAACATGAGGTTAATATTATGTGAAAACTGACTATATCAAGAAAGTAGCAAAAGAAGAATCTAGAGGGAAAAGAAATTCCGATAAGGAAACTTGGTGGTGCAGTGATGCGGTTCAGAATGCCATTAGTGAAAAACATTCATGTTATAAAACTTGGCAGTGTAATAGAAACGATCAAAATTTAAAAGAATATAAAAATACTGAGAAAAACTCTAAACAAATAGTAAGTAACGTTAAACTTAAGGCATATGATAACCTATACAATAAACTGGGAACAAGAGAAGGTGAAAAAGATGTCTTCAAATTAGTAAAAATGAGAGAGAAAAAGTGTAGTGTTCTAAACCATATTAGATGCATTAAGAGTGAGGATCAAAGGGTCTAAGTGAAGGATAACGAGGTCAGCGAAAGGTGGAGAGTTTATTTTCAAAATTTATTAAATGACGAACACAACAGGAACATAACGATAGAAAGAAATGTTGGTATAAATGAGGGTGGAGGTTATAGATACATTTGTAGGATTAGGATGTCAGCAGTGAAAGAACCTTTGAAAAAGATGAAAATAGTAAAGGCTTTATGACCAGATGGTGTCCCGATAGCGGTTTGGAAATGCATAGGGGAGATTGGGATTGACTGGCTAACGAACTTGTTCAACAAGGTGTTGAGAACAAAAAAAACGTCCGATGAATGGAGAAAAGTATTGTAGTACCTACTTACAAGGACAAAGGAGACATACAAAATTGTGCGAACTATCGAGGGATCAAGCTTATGAGATGCTATGAAGCTCTGAGAGAGAGTGATTGAGCAATGACTAAGGCATGAAACGAGTGTATCTGAAAACCAATTTGGTTTTATGCCATAAAGGTCAACAACCGAGGCTATTTTTCTATTTAGGCAATTGATTGAGAAGTTTAGGCGAAATGACAAGATCTCCATATGGTCTTTATTGATCTAGAGAAAGCTTATGATGGAGTACATCGAGATTTGATTTGACGGGTGTTGGAAAAGAAAGGAGTCTTCAGACACTACACCGACTTGGTGAGAGATATGTATGATGGTGCACTAACTATTGTACGAACAACTAGTGGAGAGACGAGTGAGTTTTTAGTGATAATAGGTCTACATCAAGGGTCAGCATTGAACCTGTACATCTTTGTCTTAGTTATGGACGACTTAACTAGGCCCCTACAGGATGAGGTACCGTGATGCATGTTGTTCGTAGATGACAATTTTGATTGATGAGACCCGAAACGGCTTTAGAACTTTGGAAGGATGCTGTAGAATCCAAAGTTTGTAAAATTAGCCGGACTAAAACATAATATATGAAATGCAAGTTTTGTTATAATAGGAGTAGAGATAGGGAAGTAGTTAAGACTGACGGCCAGAAAATACAAAAAAGACCGCACTTTCAATATCTTGGGTCGATAATCTAAGAAAATGGAGAGATTGAGGAAGATGTCACACAGAATTAGAGCTGGGTGGGCGAAGTGGATATGTATAACTGGAATATTATGTGATCGCCACATACCAATGAAGCTAAAGGGCAAGTTCTATCAGACAGCTGTGAGACCGGCTTTGCTCTATGGAGTGGAATGTTGGGCAGACAAAAAACAATATACTGATAGAATGAGTGTAGCGGAGATGAGGATGTTGAGATGCATGAGTGGCAAGTCAAGAAGGGATCGAATCTGAAATGAATCCATTCAGGAGAATTTAGGTGTGGTACCAATAGGTAAATAGATCAGAGAGATCAGACTTAGGTGGGTTGGTCATGTATGGCGATGACCCAGTACAACATCTGTTAGGAGGTGCAAGTTAGTTCAAGTGGAAAGATTGAAAAGGGCAAGGGGTAGGCCCAAAACGACATGGTTGGAAGGAGTCCGAAAAGATATGGGAACTTTTGGTCTCATTGAGGGTATGACCTTTAATAGAACAGAATGACGGGGCCAGGATTCATGTAACCGATCCCAATTAATTGGGAAAAAGCTATAATGATGATGATGGTAATATATATATATATATATATATATATATATATATATATGTATATATATATCTGACATATTTATTGCATAAAATCAAAATATAGTAACATATATTGGAGGGATAGATATTGGGTCAAGTGGTCCCAGACCTGACCTTACCCCATTTTTTCCAAGATGGAGCTGGACCCAACCTGGGTCTGGTCCAGGTCAAATGAACCTGGACTGGCAGGTCGACTTGACCTGTTTACCACCCATATATACAAATGGTCCTTTAATGAGATGATCTCCCAATGTATATAAAATTTCAGAGAAGTTTCAATTATTGGACAATGGAAAAAAGAAAGATATGTGGAAGTTAGAGAATTTCTGTTGGAATATGTTGTTGTTTTCTTTTGTTCCATGAATTCTCATAGTTTCTTTTCATAAAAAAAGAATGCGCATAGTTCTAAGAGATAAATATTATTCAAAAAAAGGTTTCTTAGGAGATGGGCAATTTTTTAATAAAACTTTCATTTTGCTTTTCTTTATCAGAGAGTATCCTTTTCTTAATAAAAGTACAAATCATTCTACTTTTGGGTATTGGTTGGGTAGAATATCCGTAAATTATGGGAGGGGCTTCCTGATTTTCTTAATCTCTTTGGTCCCCTCAGTTTTCATCTTTCTGCTGGAGCTAATGGTTTAAAATTCCTTGTGATTTATTGATCTGATATGGCGGTGAATATCTATTTGTTTAAATTGGGCTAAACCCTTGTATGATTTTCTGAGGAAATGTGATGAATGTGAATACAGGAAGGCATGACCTATGAATATACATCAATGAAAACCTTGAATGAGTCCAAGTATGGGTTCTGGGGTGTTCTTGCCAGAAAGGCAAAATCAGTTTTTGAGGAAGATAACATGGTTCAGCAATCTGAAACATCTAGCAAAACTAGCCCCCAGGTCCATGATGCGGCAGTTGGGTATCAGGTACGAGAAAAAGTATTGTTAATTATGATCAGTGTTTGGTGAACTCCCAGGACTTCAGGATAGATGCTTTTATTTTATTTTATTTTTTTTGGGTAGTTCAGTGAGAATGCGGTCCTCTACCTGTGGTAGGAATGGAACTCGATATGTCATGTTGTGACATCCTGACCACCTTGTCTTGAGCCCATTCCTAGTTGCTTTTATTTTCCTTTCTTTACACGTCTGTGTTTGTGGTCTACATTTCCCAGTTCTTTAAGGGACCTCATTTGTTTGGGGGAAGTCTGCTATATCTGATGGACCATGGAAAAACCATAGTCCATAGGATCATTAGCATCCATTTCAATGATGGCCAAATATGATCCCAATGGTGCGTCCTGCTCTTTCTCCATCACGGTTCATCATTTTGATGGACAGTGATAGCGCACTGGAATATGGTTTTTCCGCATCTAGTCCACTGGTGTACTGCTCCTTTATTTCATATGTGAATGAAGAGTATACCTTGCCTCTTTGGTGTCTTTAACTTGTGATCTCCTAACTGTAGGTTCGTCACTCTTATCAACCAATGGAAGGCCATCGAAGACCTGAAAATCCTACGATTCAAAAAGGTCTAGATGCACTTGCTTCTTCCATAAACTACATTGGCGGCACCATTGGTAATGCTTTGGAGGTAAGTTATTTTCTCTTGAAATTTTTCTTAGAATACAAAAGTTCTTGAAAATGATCGTTGTGATCCTTCTTGTGATGTTTTTGACAATCTTATGGCTTATAAACTTAATGACTATGAAAGATGTTCTGGATTGGGTATCAAGTATCAACTTATCGACTTCCATCATAGGAAATTTCTGTTGGGTTGTCTATAATGTTCAAGCTTCGATAACATGTTTGATTTTCATATTGATCCTTTGGATATGTGAGTTCTCATTCTTTTATTACCTTGCCTTCGGTAATTGTTTGAGAATGACAAGTGTGTTGCTTTTAGATGCTGCTAGGCTCATGCGATCTTTTGCTTGATGTTATCCAGTGTGTGCAGTAGATGTTGTTGTCAGTATGGAATTCGTTTTTTATAGGTATCGTTGGTACGGAAATTTTGGCCTGTTAAGTAGGCCATATTATTTTTCCTTACATTTAATAATTTTATTTATTTTGTCGGTGCTTAACATTAGAATAACTTTTTCCACCAATATAACTTTATTGATGTCTCCTACTTATTATAATTGTGAAAGATGGCAATGAGAAGATTGAATTCAAAGTGCCACCGTTAAATTTTAGACTCTTGTGGAACAATCTTAATGTGAGAATAACATTATAATAAATAAAGATTAAATATATACAAAAATTAATATTTTATAAGAGAGTTCTTTTGTTTTGAGTCTTTTCGAATATAAAAATAATAATTATTTAAGTACACATATAAGCACCACACACGGTGGTATTGTGTAATGTGCCACTTCAACACGTCTCATGCAGTGTTCGTAAAACCGGCCGATCTTACCGCTAACCGGCCGGTTAGATTAGAACCGCCCAGCGACCGGTTCCGGTTTTGGCCGGTTTTGGTGGTCACACAGTATTTTAAACTTTAAATAGAATAATACTTCATATTCATATCAAATATATTGGAATGGCGTATTGGTTAGCATTGACAAGTGGTTTTTATATGAATCGGGGTTCGAATCCGACCGCCAACATTTTAAAAACCCATAAATTTAATTGGTTCAAAAACCATATGCGTTTTTTCTTTTAAAAAACCATGAATTGGTTAAAAAACCATATGCCATTTATTACTTGATCACCATTTACTACTTAGTTGATAAAAATAAGGGTTCATATTATATATAATATAATTTTCTCTTCATTTTCTTTTAAGAAAAAAAAGATCACTTTCTTAAAAAGAAGATCATTTCTTTTAAAAAAAAAGATAAAAAAAGATCATTTTCTTTAAAAAAAAGTGTTGGTCAAGTCGATTTTTTTAACACTATTTTAATATTCTTTACATTATGGTAAAGATTAAAAAATATTTTGATCATTGATACTCACTTTTATATTTTCCTATCTTTTCAAAATTTTTTAAAAATACCCCTAGGCACAAATCGACTCGTTAAAATCTATTTTTTCATTAATTTTCAACTTCATTTGAGTGTGTTTTGTTTTAATCACATTCTTCATTATTTAGTAGGTTTTTTTGTATCTTTTTTATTTTTTTTAACATTTTTTTAATCGTTCCGGACTTGCCCGGTTAGGGCGGTTGAATCGGCCGGTTTACCGGTTAGGCTGGTTAAATCGCTCCTAGCCCATGTCCGGTTAACCGTTCCGGTTCGATTTTGCGAACATTGGTATCATGTTACAAAACATTACAATGATACCAAGGGCAGTTATGTGCTAGGCGTGTGTCTATATGTGCCAAAACATGTCAATACGCGGCCGACATGTGTCGACACGCGGCACAATGAGATGTATGAAGCATCCAGGTAACACTGGCCACATTTCGAAACAACTGATTTGGATCAGGATTCATCATAGTCCAGTTTCAAGCTGACTTGGTGAGACTAGTGAGGCTCGGTTGACTTGGCACTGATCCAAGGTGATTTAGATTGTTTGAGTGCAAAGACAACTCACCATTAAACCCCGCCTTCACCTGCAGTTCGTGTCTTGGAAGATGTCCATCAAATGCTCCTGTATTACCTCCCAATGTCCTGTAAAAGATTAGTTCAAAGCCTGTAAGAAATCGGTAATACACAGGTGGAATATACTTCATTCTCAAAGAACCCCAAATCCCAATTTTACATAAATTTAGGGGTTTCTTACTTTCCTGTTTAAATCATCCCAGAAACACATCATGTATCTGCTGAACATTTTCTTCCACTTGATATAAAAACAAACTACACTCACGTCTACTGAGAGAAAATGATGGCTTCTCTGCAAGTTCTGATAAAAACTCTCTCTCAATGCGTGCTTAAAATTTCTACTCTCTTGAATTTCTTCTTTCTTGATTTAAATAATAGGTCTCTTTGTATACGAATCCCCTTTCGCTTCTCGGAGCTCTCTATGTCTTTTTGGCTCATCTAAAGGAACATTCAAGATAAGGTTTCTATTAGGATTTAAAATTCCCATTGCTTGCCTACTTTCAATATTATCCATCCAAAATCTCCTAATATCAAAATTGTTACTTTTGAAATTCTTTACTTTCTACTCCCCAGTTGACTCATCTGGGCTCAACCTAACCTAAAAAAAGAATTAAAAAAGAAAAAGAAAACCTCATGTGGCCTTTAGGGCCTAGTATTAGCAGGACCAGTAAAAACCGTGGATTTAATATTTGTCTAGATATCCTTTTTAAAGAACATTATCTTATGTTACTTAATATTCCTATTATTTTTAGGGAAAAGTTTATATAGAGCCGAGGCTCTAAACAATCAAATTAAAGCCTACCTCAAAAATTTCACTAGAAGAGATTGTTTTGATGCCCAAATATCCTCAAATTGATCATCTCGACATCAAAATACATGGACATGAGAAAAAATGGATTTCAAGTTTTGGAAATAGTGTATTGCATAATGCATTTTTGGACTGTCAATTTTCAAGGTTTTCAAGTTTTCATAGATTTGTCGATCGACACTATTTTTTAAACTTTAAAATTTATAAATAAAGAAAAAAATATATGTTAAGGCTATCACAAAGATTTCCGATGTTGAAACTACATTTCTCGACACTATTTGTAGGTAGGCTCTAATTTGATTGTTTAGAGCCTAGGCTCTATACAAACCGCACCCTTATTTTTATGAGATATTTCAATATAACAAAAGATGGTTCCAACCAATGTTGAATAAGTCGGCGCCGCCTAGGAGCTAAGCCAGGCGCCCAAATAATTCGGATGCAACCTTGTATAAACTTTTTCCCTCAAAAAAAGATAAGTGGAGAGCGCAAGAGCATATACTGTACACGAACTGCCTCAGGCAAGAAACCACTTGGGAAGATTTTGTTTAATAAAATTTTAAAATACATCACAAGATTATTTTTTTTAAAAAAAGATCAACAACGTTTTGTTTGTTGGCTTTCTTTTAAATCATTTTGTACTCTCACAATATCTTTATTATAATGGTTTTCTCTTATAGTTTTTTACCATACCTTCAAAGTTCTATTTGTATTAAGTGGAATCTCATTGTTCAAGTGCGCTATATATGACCTTATGTTCTTGGTAACATTGAATATTTGCATGCTTTGAGATAAAACATCTTCCATTTTAAAAGAAAAGAAAACGACATTGAAGGCGTGATGGGAGATACAAGAAGTAAACGACACACCAAAAAACTGAAAAGACAAAATTACACACGAGAAAATCCATGGGAAAATTTGTCAATATGCACATAAGAGATGAATTATTTAATATTTTAAACTCATATTTTGATTTAATTTCAAAAAGTTCATCAAAATTCACATAATCAAGGAATTGGAGTAGTTGAAAAGGGCATTTTAGCCCCTCTCAAAAAAACTCTGTCAAACTCCTGCAGGCCGCCTAGGCAGGTGCCTTTTCCTGCCTTTTCGTCCGCCTAATCGTCCACCCGATCGCCTAGGTGGGCACCTAGTTCTGCCCCTAATAGTGACCGCCTAGGCGGTATGGCGGACGCCTTTTTGATCATTGGTTCCAACATTCCTTTGGCTTATGTAAATAAATCTCTGTATAATTTTCTCACTTCCCAACTTAAGAACTATGCCCCTGATTCTTCATTACCCATTTTAGTATTCTTTTCAATCATTGGCCACTACAGTTTCTTGTGAGCATCAATTACATTTGGCCACTCCTTTACATTTCTAACTTTGTTGGGTATGCTGTCATCAGACCGTAAATAAACCCGTGAACCTCGTGTTCCTGAATGGCAAACCGTTGTGTGTACCACAACTGGCCCTTTCGTGCGGTGCAAAGGGAATGTCTAATGAGCTGTGAAACTGCATACGTGTCTTGCTTTGTTGTCTTCTTAAAGAACCAATAAATTCGACAATGTACGCAAGTTTAGTTTAGCAGATGTTCTGTATTTGATGATGATAGCTTTTTTTGAGGTCCAATTGGGCTGAAAATTAATTAAACTTCAATGAATGGGCAATATTTAACTTGCCATATTTATACTATTAAAATCACATATCTATACGAGGGACGCGTCATTCGGAGAGTGTGATGTGATCCACACATGCATACATTCGTTCACGTAGATGTGCCATACCTATAAAACTAAACCTTGATGCTTATATATTTTAAAACTAGTTTATGTTCGTAATGTTTTTTTTTATTTTACATTATTGTTCGTCATTCCTATTATTTTCATTGAGTGAGGTTGTCTTTCTAAATCTATGCACTTTCTTGTAAACATCTAGGAGGGTTTGACTATTGTGGAGAATAAAGCAGCGGACATTATAGCAGACACTCGCAAGCTTCACAATAGGAAAAAAGGAACCACTGCTGATGCACCAAATCAAGCACAACACTGGGAGCGTGCTGATGCATCAAGCCCACATAATCCACAGATGCCAACCGACCATGAGACACAACTGAAGGCATCTCGCGACGTAAGGTGGCAAATGTGTATCACTGGATCATATTCGATTGTGCATCTTATTTCACCTTTTTCATTTTTTATCTCAACTTGCCTTCTTTTTGAAAGATAGTCTCAATTCCAATGCCTAGATTTGTAGAAGCCCCTTGAAACGTGTAAAGATCCCTTCGTGTTGGGGAATGTTTTGATTTGCCTTATCGGTTGGCAGGTTGCAATGGCAATGGCTGCAAAAGCTAAACTGTTATTGCGAGAGCTGAAAACTGTTAAAGCTGACCTAGCATTTGCAAAAGAACGATGTGCCCAACTTGAGGAGGAGAATAGAATTCTCAGAGAATGCCATGAGAATGGAGACGGCCCTGAAGATGACGACCTGGTATGTATTATTTGATGCATTACATATTGGGTAGAGTTTGGGTGCATCCAGGGAAACCTGTTACAGTGATCCTGTCCTCCCTAAATGATGTTTTGATCCAAAAGTTTCAGGTCAATCATCTAGACCACCAAGATCATGAACCTATAAAAAATAAATTTTGAGCCTTTAAAATGAGTCATTTTGTACATTTTCTTTCTGGACCATTCATTTGAATATTTCGAAGATCATTGGATCTGCACTCTTTTTTAAACCGCCCTAATTCACGGATCTAAGGCGGGAATGTAGTTACAATTATTCAGGTTGTGTTTCAGGTCCTAAATCCCTGGAAGTGCAGGGTGGACACATGAGCCAGCAAACTACTTTTCTTTACATATTTCTAGTCTTTTAGCTTAGCTGAATAATACTTTGTTTTACTGTCTCTTATTGTGAACTTGAAAAACCAGAAAATTTATGTATCCAGCTCTATTTAAGCATGCACTTATTCTGGTAGGATCTTTGGGATTCCTAAGAACATTTCTAGGGAAAGTATTCTATATATTTCAATGGACTGGGGAGACCATAATCCATTGGCTCATCACCCTTCAATGAAGCAATGGACTGTGATGGAGGGAGTAGGACCAATCAGAACTTTACATTACCCTATTTGGGTTAAGGAGGGGAGAGGAGTAGCGTTTTGTTTTTTTGTGTTTTTTCCAAGGACCTTCACAGGTTATAGGTTCCATAATGGGCTTTGCTTACTATGTCAGAATGGACCCAGAATTTCTAATCTTTTGCCACTTCCACTGAAAACAAGAAATTGGGAAATATAAAAAACCTGGCTAAGCTACTAGGCCACTGGAAATGTAACAACCTCTATTTTATGCTTTTGTATGCTGTATTTGTCACATTTCAGGTATATGGTAGTGGAGATTGTGATGATATATAATGGGCAAGTATTTATATGGATTGGGTCACAATCACCTCTAGCCTTAGCTGTCAGGTGTGAAATCAAGCGGCTGGGTCTGTGCCTTTGATGCACCTAAGTTTGCAAAAAATTTCTCAAACATGTGTGGAAAAATGATAGACTCTTAATAGTCCGAATTCACATCTGGCGGCTAAGGGTGGTTGTAGCAGTCCTGCAGTAAAGGTAAATGGTTGTCTGATATAAGATCCAACATGCAATTATTCGTAGTTGAGTTTATGCCTCAATAGCAAGCAAACCTCAGGTTGAAAGAGAAACTAGTTGCCAGTCTCTCTCTCTCTCTCTCTCAACTGCTATGATAACATGGTACAGATACTTCTCACTCTCTCAAATGCTATGATTACATGATGCAGATACGGCTTCAACTTGAGACACTCTTGAACGAGAAGGCTCGATTAGCACATGAGAACTCGGTTTATGCACGTGAGAACCGTTTCCTGAGGGAGATTGTGGAGTACCACCAACTCACCATGCAAGACCTTGTCTACCTTGATGAAGGCATCGAGGAGGTCACCCAAGTGACCCCTATACCCATGGGCACGCCAGAACCACTGCCGCCACTGCCACCACCACAAGTCCCCATGGGTCCACCACAAGACTCACCATCTCACTCCAATCCAAAGCCCTCTCCTACAACACCTCCACCCCCACCTCCACCACCCTCCATATAAAGAAGAGTGAGAGTCAGAATGAGAGTAAGAAGCTTCTTTTCTTTTTGCTGTAATTTTTTATTCTTCCTGTTACATGTAACATTATGTCTCTGGCTTGCATTGCTCAATGGCTTTGTATAAGTAATTTAATTTATTATTAACACAGCTCTTGGTTGTTATATGTTTTTATTTTTCTTTTTTGGGGGGAAATTGAGTCTGGTTATCTTTTATTGGTGCAAGCAAAGGGAGGGTGCATGTGCTGTTCCAAGTGTAGTTAAAATGGTCATGAGTTGAATTCCTCAAAGTGTATTTATTTCACATGTTGATTCAGTGTTTTTAAAAACGTCCACCCACCAATCCTGATCTCAGGATCAGCAATTTATATTGGCTAGATTGCCAATCCGGCCAATAAAAAAGGAACGAACTGATTCTTAGGGTTCTTTAGGGTGGATGGAATGTTGAATGACATTAAGAAAACCAGTAAAATAATAATAATAAAAGGTTTTAGCCTTTGATGTTCCCGATGCTCTTCAGGAACTGGCACGGTCCCACCAAGTCTTTATCCAGATTCGTAGATCTTGATATGGATTGATGCTTTTTCGATTAGTATGTTATTTAGCACCAAAAAAATGTTAAATTGGGATATTTGATGGCTGAGGTCTTGTAAGTGTTAAGTTTATATTCTGAATAAAAAAAATTAGAGGATTATTCTGGGAACTATTATGGAGTGTAGCATGGGCACTGCTTCTGGGGTCCCTTATATCACCCTAGCACATACCTTGCAGCCAAAATATGGGGATTTTTTGGTTTAAAGAATTTCATATCATACCTCATTTTTGAATGAGCCATTAAGACCACATATCTGGATGCCTCTCAAGCAGTGATTTAAAAAATGCCGAATCGAATCGGACTCGTCCGGTTCAACTCGGGAATCGGCATTGGACGTGCCGATTCGGGCAAATTACACGGAATCGCTCTGTTCCAGAGAGAATCGGGCGATTTTGTACAGTGACTCGTCAATTCACTGTACGGAATCGGCGAGTCCCGTGAAGAACACGGGCTGTACAGTGTTCTTCACGGGATTCTTCAAAATTTGTCATTTTTTGATCATTTTTCTTGTTTTTTTGGCCTATGTAATCGAATATGCAAGGTTTATGCTACTTTTTTCAACCTTTTTATGGATTAAATGGTGGAAAAATTTCTTGTTTTTGGATCATGAAAGTTGCGTTTTTAGGGTTTCTGTCTTTCCTTGTGTTTCATGCCAAATAAGGCATGACTCAATAAAAATTTGTACGCATTTTGATCGTAAAGTTGTTCATCAAAAAATTATGTTACGAATTTGTGATAATCGTTGAAAAAAACCGAGTAATTTGGAGATTGAAGGTTCGGGTTCACTAAATCAAGTAAGAACTTTGGGTTTTCTTTTTTTTTCGCCATATGATCAATTTCACTACATATTTTGAAAATAATGAGTTATATTTGTAGGGTTTTTAATCTTTATTGTGTCTTTTATCATTTAACATATTCAATTTTATTTAATTTTCTCAATTACAGCCTGATTTTTTAGATGAACACAGTGATGTCTGTGAAAAAAAAATTTTTGCTGTTTTTTTTTTTTTTTCCGCCTTTCGTTTTTTTGTTTACGATATATTACAAATAATGTGTTAGATTTTTAGAGTTTTTAATCATTATAATCTTGTTTATAATCAGATGTATTTAATACAATCTGATTTATTCAATTTGAGTTTCATTTTTGAGATTCAATGACTGTTGTTTGTAAAAAACTGCGTTTTTTTTTTTTTTTTCAATTTAATCGATTTGATTTGATTTATTGATGATAATGTGTTCATATTTTAGGGTTTTGATTCCTTATATTGTTGTTTATCAAAAACTCTGCTCAATTGGATGTAATTTATTCGCTTGGAGGTGGATTTTTTAGTTAAAATGGCTGATGTAAGGTGGCTCCGTGAAGAACAGAATTTTTTTTTTATTTATTTTTTTTTTTTTGTAATCCATGATCTAAAATTTTTTTTTTTTTTTTTTTTTTTTTTTTGTAATCCATGATCGAATTTTTTGAAAATTTGCTGTACTTTTTTTTTTTTTTTAATCCATGATCAATTTTTTTAAAAAAGGATGATTTTTCAAAAAGATGTGAAAATCGTGACAAGGTTTTGATTATCATGAGGTATTAAACCATATTTTTAATTTTTATTGTTAAAGCTTATATTGAAAAAATTGTATGTTGATAGATTATTTATGCAAAAAAATGCATGTTATTTTATTTTTAATGTAAAACTGTATTTTTTTAATTTGTTGTTAATGCATTTTTGAGTTGGAATAACTAATGTTAAGTAGCTTTGTGAAGAATTATTTTTATTTGTATGCTTTATTGTCGTCCATATATGTTGATATACTTATTCCATGATAATTCTATGTTTATCCTTTTGTGTGACATAAATTAAATAGTAAATAATAGTTTATACAGGGAAAGAACATATCAATATTCGCATATTCATGCAAAGAAATGAAAATTATTAATGGAGTACCTTCATTTTTTATTCAATTCCTAAAATACAATATTTATAATGAATTTTAATAATTTTTTCAAATTTTTTTGAAGCTTTAATCGGACCGATTCACCCGATTTTCGATTCAGATAGCCGATTCGTCAATCCGGATTAATTTTTGAAGTGTCTGATCCAAGTCACCGATCTGCTTTTTAAATCATTACGCTCTGGAGATTTGACTTGGAACCTTTTTTTCTTTTTTTTATTAAAAAATTTATCCCTATATTTCATTTAAAAATTGAATTGTAATTATGAGAATCTGAAGAAAGTTTGTACGTTACCTTCATTTCTCCTTTGCCTGTCTTTTCGTCACTTTTTTGTAAGTTTTTTTTCAATATTGTTTTTACTTCGAAGATTGAAAATCTGAAGTTACCCGTCATCTATTTTCTTTTTTAGCTATTTTTCTCTTTAGATATTGAATATCTAGAGTCACTCTGGACTATGAATTTTGAATACGAAAAGATGCATGAAAATCTTAATTTTAATATAATATTGGATATTAAATATCTGAAATCAAGAGTGACTTTGAATTTAAACATCCAAAGTTTTTTCCCTAAAAAATTATTTTAAATAAAATACAAGATTATGGATATTGAAAATCTGAAGTCATTTGCGACTTAAATACTCAATTTCTAGAATTACAAGTAAAATTAGAACAAAAAAATAAGGATAAAAGGGACGTGTACAAAAATCAAGTCAATGGGTGTATTTGAGCTCAGCTTAAACTTAACCCAAAAATAAAACCCACATATTAATATATTTTTTTGCTTTTTTTTAAAATTGTCAAACATGGGCATACTATTTTGACATTGGTATCTTTGGTTGCCAATGATGGCATATTTACTGTTGGCATTACCTTCAATTCAACCAAAAAAATAAGGAATTTTTCTTTGAGCTTGGTCACTTTGTTCAAGAGGTAACATCCTAAAACTCAAGATCCTAAAATAGAGAAATTTATGTTCATTTATTTTAAAATTATCATTATTAAAGAAATCTTTCATAAATTTTGATTTTGTATTCGAATTTTATTTCTTCAGCTTTTTGTTTTCTCAAAATTACCTTTATTTCGAACCTTAAAAGTTAAAAAACTAGTAATTTTTTATCATAAAGTTGCTTCGTACGTTGTTCCAAATATCAAATTTATTCCTCCAGGATTAGGGCTGGCAAAGGGCTGACCCAAGTCCGACTGGACCTAGACACAAACCCGAAAAGTTATTATAGGACCCGGACCCAAATGCAAAATATAAAAAAAATAACTCCTTTATATTTTTTCTAATACTTGCTTATAACTAATTAATATATTAATCAATATAAATAAAAAAATTAATTTATGACAGTAAAAAATATAATTGTAAATAAAAAATTACAAACAGAATAATAATTAACCATAAATACGAATTGTAGAAATATAATTATTTTAAAAATAATTACTTCAAAATACAAACTACATTAATAATTAAAATTAGTAAATAGAAAAAAAAAAGTATTAATAAGGGGCTGGAGGGAGAGTGAGAGATAAAGGGAATTTCCTAAAGAAAAATAAGTAATATCAATACCATTATTAGTTTTAATTGCAATGAATATATAAATAAATAAACTACATTAATAATTAAAATTTGTAAATACAATCATAAATGGGGGGCCGGAGGGAGAGAGAGAGAGGGTATTTGCTAAAGAAAAATAAGTATACCAACATCAATGTTAGTTTTAATTGCAATAGATATCTCATTATGGGCCAATTTGTTATATATCTATCTATTTATTGTATCATTATTTTTGTACCATGTATCATTTTTTTATTTCATAATTGCCTTCTCTTTTCGTTCTCTCTATTCCTCTTTTCACAATATACAGTTCCTAAAATCTATTCTCTCTCCCCAACTTCCAAACACCAATGTTCCTAACATTAGTGTGTGGAGATCATTAGAGAATGATAGAGAGAGATAAATAGAAAGAGAAAGATAAATGCGAATGTTCCTAAAATTGGTTTATGGATAACTGTAAATAATTGTGACCACCTCGTATCAAAGGTAAATAGTTTCATTGTGTACGACTCGTTTTAGAAATAGGTCTTTTTTCTTCCATATTTGTACATTTTTTTTAAAATAAAAATAAAAATGTTTCATATTTGTACATCTTGAGGTCAAGATGATCAAATTAGATGATTTTCCAACATCAACACAACTTTTTGTGGTGGATTTTTTGAGATATGGCTTACTTTTGTAATTCCATTAAGGATTTATATAAGGGAAAAGTTTATATAAAGTCGAGGCTCTAAGCAATCAAATTAGAGGTTGCCTTAAAAAATTCACTAGAAGAAATTGTTTTGATGCCCAAATATCCTCAAATTGATCATCTCAACATCAAGATGCATGGACATAAAAAAAAAATGGATTTAAAGTTTTGAAAGTAGTATATTTTGTAATGTATTTTTGGACCATCAATTTTCAAGATTTTCAAGTTTTCATAGATCCATCAATCTACATTATTTTTAAACCTTTAAACTTTATAAATAGAGATGAAAATATATTTTAAGGCTATCATAAAGATTTCCAATGTTGAAACCACATTTCTCACCATTTGAAGGTAGGCTTTAATTTGATTGTTTAGAGCCTAAGCTCTATACAAACTGCACCTTTTATATAAACTTTCTCCATACAATAATAGTTGACTCTTATGAATAAATAAATAAAAACAACATACTACAATTTGTCCCCTAGAAAGCAAGTATATAATCCCAAGAGAAAGCTTTCTATGTTCCCCCTATAACATAAAAATTCTATCCTCCCCCTACCATCTAGCTGTTCATTTTTTATCAAGAGAGTCACTTACCATTTGATCTTAAATCCAATGTCTCAAAACATTTTATTTTTAGTTTTTTTAATATAAATTTTATAAATATGAAATTTGATAGATGCGATCTTCTCATTGGGACACACCTATAAAAAATATTAACAATAACTTTTTGATAAAAAATAATGACCAAAATACCCCTTGAAACTTTCAAGGGTATTTTGGTCAATTTGTTTTATTGAAAATATTTTTTCCATATTTTTTATTAGTGCAAGTTTAATAGAGGAATGGACATCCAAAATTTGGTGTCAAAATAATTTATAGAAAAAAAATTAAAAATAAAATAGTGTAGAGACATGACATTGTGATTGGCACAATCTTAACCCTCCATTAAAAACTGGAGGGTTGGATAAAGGGGGAGGATAGAACTTCTATGTTGTAGGAGGAACATAGAAAACTTTCCCTAATCCCAAATCCCAACCTCTATTTGAACAACTTGAAATGTTGCATTTGTACGATCCCAACCTCTATTGTCTACACAACCAATACTATAGTCATTATCTTTTCACAAACCAAAATTCTATCCCTACAAAGATGTCTCCTTCTCTGCAAGTCATTTCTATTTGGACCAAGTTTCTATGCGGCGAACCCCGCATATGTAGAAATGCAGGCCTCTTAATAAATCTATTTTTGAGATGGATTTTAAGATTTAATTTTTAAGGACATGTAATCTCTAACATGGAGATCATGAATATGAAAAATAAATAAATTTTAAAAACTAGAAATAATAATTCTAATAAAAAAACCTTTGGACCATTAGTTTCTATTGTTTTTAGATGGAACACCTACTTGCATCCATCTTTAAGATGAATGCTTTACACTTTTTGGACCGCATATGTAGAAATGCAATCCAACCCGCATGAAACAATTTTCCTTTTGGGTAAGTATTTTGGGCATGTTTGATTTATGGAACTTTCAGCCTTGGGAGCTTAAAGTTCGAGGTCTTATATGGCACTTCCTATCACCAAACACAAATGCTCTGTGGAAAACCTCTTAAAAATCCAACCTTCTTAGAAACATGTTCTTCCCTGTCCCGATTAAAGCCTATTTGAAAGATTCACGATATAATTAAGTAGACGTTTCAAATACCACACAAGTCACTAGACATGCCAGTTTGATGTATCCCATTTGATATCTTTGTATGCAAAAATCAACAGATTCTAATGATTTATACATATCATCCAAACTAGCCATAAGCGTTGAACCTTGAAATTAATGGGGATCCAAGTGCATTTGAGACTTTAACTTGAAAGCTCCCATGCTTTTGGGGAATTTCCTCTGTAGTTATCTTGAAACTCAAACCTCTTAAGCAAACATACCCTTAGACATCCAAAACCTCCAAATGACATGTCAAGCCAGCTTTCGCTGGTAAATTTTCTCAACTCTTGTTGATCTCAAGCCGCCTTATGTGGTTTGAGAGCGACGTGCTGGCTCGGTTGAGCTAGGAGCAAGTTCGATACTTTTGAAACATTAGCAGTCTCAATTTCCTTGGGGCATTTGAAATGACATCAAGGGCTCAATATTTTGTATTTATATTTGGGTGGTGTCTGCTAGGTAATCCAAATAGTCTATTTATCAAGATAAACAAATTGCAGTCATAATCATATCCAATATTAGTTAATAGGGCCAAATAGAAGCAAGAATCATCTTTATGAATCATAAAAGGGCTGGTTCTTATAATGCACAATGATCGTTTTGAGGATAGCAGATCCAAATGGGAGAGCATATTCTTATTTGGTTTTTACTGCATACCCTCGTGTATGTGTATGTGTGTGTGAGTTTGGAGAGCATATTCTTATTTGGTTTTTACTGCATACCCTCGTGTGCATGTGTATGTGTATGTGTGTATGCATGTGTGTTTGGGGGGTGGGGATGATTCATATGTGGAACTTCCACAATAGCTATAACAAAAGAAGGTGAAAATGCCTCCCCTTGTTTTTTCAGTTGAGAAACTCTTGCTTGAATTATTGATTCTTACATGAATCACCTTTCAATACCTGATTTATAAACCAAGAACGAATTGGTGCTGCAATACTTGGTGGCAAACGCCTTTCCCAAAGATGTTGGCTGAGAGAAGGCTAATTGGGAGGGCTCCAAGACATAACCCATGAGGAAGTTCTTCCTACAAATTCATAACACCAGGAAACATGATAACCAAACATAAGCAATGTGTTGGTTTTTTTTTTGGTTGAGGGGGGGATAGCATACCTTGCCGCATTGAGTAAGCAAGTTGCTATGCCATTCTCCTCCTGGAGGCGAGAACCCAAATGGCTCTTATGCCACAAACAGCTGGCATTGGTTCCATCTCACAAAGGATCGCAGCACCAAAAAACTCATCTGCAATCTTCTCCGAGTTCTTTACATTAGAGGGGTTTCTTTTAATTGTTTCTGTCTCAACACGCTGTTTTTTGTTTTGAAATTCTCTTTTTGCACTTGAACTCGAAGAATGTATGATTGAAGGGCAGGAGCAGTTTGAGATGACTTTGTAGGCATATCTGATTGGTTCTGCCACAAGACAGCCAACAATTCTCTGACTCGAGATACGTAGATAAACCTGCATGCCATAGAATAGAAGGGTGACCATTTTGTGAACTATAGATTTTATTTTATGTAAACTAGCTAGAGGCATGTGCATTGCTCTCATTGCGAGGAGAAACATTATTTAATAGTTAATACCTACAATTTGCTCCAAAATCAAAAAGGAAAAATAAAGACATTTCGAGAAACATAATAATCTTATTATTGTTTTACCAATGAGAGAAGAGGAGGGAGGGGGGGAGAGGATGGCAAATTTTAATTACTTTCAAAAAACTAAAAGATATGCAATTCAAAAGATAAGAGGAAAAAGGAATTTTAACTGGAAAGAAAGGGAAAGCCAAGTTGAAAAACATCAGAATTCAGCATTCTAACCTATTCTTGATTTAGAAGCAGAAGGATAAACATAGCTCAACAACCACACTACAGCAAACTTTCCAGCAGTAATTCCTATATTCACCCGAAATAAATCATAACAGGAACATATACGCTTCAAATTACTTCACCATGCATGGCAATATCATGATTTCAAACAGTAAAACCATATCTATTTACCTTGCAGAATTTATGCACAAGCCACTCATCATCCAAATTAAGCTCCTTCACCATTATCTTTGCAACCTCTTGAACCTGACAATGGTTGGTTTGAAGCGGGGTTCTCTTTTCTAACTGATACTTCTCTCAAATATAAAAGAATTTTGAGATCAAGATGAAGATGAAGAACCCTTTGTCGATGGGTAGGTGGATCACCATTCAATATCAAAACTATGTGCTCTCCATTATCCGGATATGTGCATATTACCCTTTCATTATGCCAACCCTGCAAAGTCCTGAAACAGTTTCAAAAAAAAAAAAACCCTGCAAAGTCTAGAAAAAGATTAAGCAACAGAGAAAGATTAGAAGTGAAAATTGACATGATATGCAGAGCGGTTCTCAATAATTGCAACCAAGAGAGTTCCACAAGCTCCATTAAATTCTTGTTGCAGGTGTTTCTAATGGACCACCTCACTAAATTCCAAAAAAGGTGACAAGATAAGACCCTGAATCAAATAAATTGAAACAGAATCTTTAAAATCGCTTCATTTCATCTGCAACATTAAACTTGAAACTGAATCTCATCTGCATCTATATTAAGGAATTGACACTGAATCTCTAGAATCAATTCATTTCATCCACATCAAAGAACGTGAAACTGAATCTTTAGAACCAACCTCATAATTTATCCGTGTCTCTGTCTTTAAGGATGGAGCAAACTTAAGATTTGTATAATATTGATATAATTTCAAAATCTTGAAAAGGCTAGAGCAGACTCTCTATATCAAAACGATAAATATATGAAAAATACCAGACTATAAATTGACAATCTGGCAAATACCTTGAATTGAACTCCCTGGATGTATTTCTTATGAAATGCCTTGTGGACCCTCTCATCCTCTTCATCGCCACATGAATATTGCAATCCACATAAGGAACATGTGTGAAGAATGAGATCAGACCGTCCAAGCTCCAAATAACATTGTGAATGGTTCTGTTTCTTGTTCACTGTCCCACTCATTGGATTGCTTTCTTGCCAAGACTTAATTGAATCAGAAGAATATTTTAACTTAATTGATCGGAGGAATAGTTTCTCCGTATGTTTGATTCAGAATTAGAAGAAAACAATTGGATTTTATCCTTGCTATTGAGTCTAACAGCTTCATCCTCTTTGTCGGAAGTAAAATCATCGTCTCTCTGTTCACTGCCCAATAAAAAAAAGAAAAACAGAAGAAGAAAAACTATTAATAACACCTAAAGTAAGAACAAAAACCAAGCTCTTTTCATCTTCACTCTCTTCACTAACCAAAATAAAACAAATAGCCAATAATTAATAGGCAAAATAAAGATAAAAGCAATAACTAAGTTCTTCCTAATCATCTCACTCTTAACCAGTGTCTTCAAACTCGGCCGAGTCCACTTGGACTTGGCCAAGCTACTTGGATTCACCCCCTTGGCGAGCCTTGAGTTACCCTATAAAACTCGGGTTCTATTTGAAAAATAGAAAAAAATTCCTAAAGAATATATAAAACTATGGGATTAATGTATAAAATTTTTATATATAATGTGTATAAGCAAATTTTATTTAAATCATAATTCATACACTCTTTTAAGCTTATTTAGACTTTCTATGTTGTTTTTGGTTTTTTATTTGGCCTATAATGTTTTTATTTTATTTTAAGCTTCTTTTAATTTAAAATAATAAAAAAACAAGGGCATTTGGGCCTTGTAAATGACTCGTCCGAGTAACTCGCCATATGCCAAGGCCAAGTAGCTGACATGAGGGGAGCCTGGAAACTGTAAGGTTCTCAGATAACCCCATGCTTGCGGAACTGGGAATCTCAAATACCGGGATCCCACCCAAGATCGTGTACATGATTTACTAAATGCAAAATAGATGCATACAACTTTAAATAGAGTACAATAAATAAAACAAACATAAAAATCACACCACAACAACACACAATTTATGTGGTTCGCCCCATAAGTTACATCCACTGCCTCGGCAAGTCGAAATCCACTATTACAATGAAGATTACAGTTTTGGGTTATAAGAAATAATACATATCTTTAAACATGGGTAAAAAACCATCATTGATCTTCCTTTTTAAACTCACTCTCCAGATTAAACAACACCATTGATTAATACCTTCTTTTCCACCTGAACGCTGTTATCGGAAAATAACATCGAGCACAATCGAGAGTTTTTCTCTCTCTAGAAGTGGAAGCCTAGGAATACCACATCTCTCTCGGAAGCCATGTCTCTCTCTCTTAGATACTCATTTCCATATTGGAGATCCATTCCCATAACCCCCAAAGAGGTGACTCTCAAAATGTTGAGTATTATGTCTTCCTTAGCTCTATTTTATAGAGATCACTTGGGTTTCTTTCTTGCTCACCGAGGAAACCGTTTTTTTCTTTTCTCATAATACCCTCAATTTTATAAATGAAATATAAGTGCGGTGATTTTGACTATCACTAAACCTAACAAAAACACTGCTCTTAACCTGTGATCAAAAAGTCAAACTCGATTAGGGACTTAGGTCCGACTCAGGCAAGTTCATGCTAGACCTGGAAAGGTTTTAACAATCAATTTTTTTAAATTTATTATTAAAACCTTTCCAGGTCTATTAATAAACCTTTTCAGGTTTATTAAAAACCGGGAGACTCAGGTGACAGCATGTTTTCTGGTGCATAATCTCCTAGCTCCCGATCCTATCCGTCTTGGGAGGGTCCCGAGTTGAATCAGCAATTTTCAGACACTGCTCTTAACTAGAAAAAATAAAGATGCACATGTCATATGAGCTGAATCCCCAAGAAGCAAAACCAGAACCCAATTCTTTTTCCAATCAAATAAATCTTCAGATTGGTTAAACATAGCCTGCTTGTAAAATGTTACGTAGTCTCCATCTTTGCAATCAATTAAAGTCGTCTATGAATCGCTAGAAATAACTTCTGATTTCATCCAACATTACAGTGAAAATAATTTAACAACAGTGGGCAAAAAACTGATGCTAGCGAATCAATTTTTAGGCAGAAACTTGCAGTCACATGAATTAAACAACACCCAAGTACTGATTTTAATCCGATCAGAAATATTTCTACCACTCCTTTTGGTGAGAGAATAAATTATCAAAAACTAACAATTTCAACAAACAATTTCCACCTATGCTGAAAATCATGAACCCTAAATTGAAATTACTCATTGATTTAAAATGAACAAAGTGAAGGCATATGCAGAGGGAAATTTCATAATTGCATTAGGGTAGAGCTTACCAAGAGGGTTTATTTATGGGAGTGCGGCGTCTATAAGTGGCTAGAATATCCTTTCTCTCTCTGGAATTTGCAGTTTCTTCTAATTCATTGGTGAGAGGAGAAGAGTCGTTAGTTGCAAAAGGCTTAAAGAAGGAGCTGATCTTCGCCTGTTTAAAGAGGCCGGACATGTCACGCTAGAGCTTCGCCTCAGAATTTCTAGGGTTTTGATCAGTAAGTGTGAGATTAGGGAGAGAGAGACAGGGAATGAGAGAAAATTAAGATTCCCGCCAAATCAGTTACAAACTTACAATGATTCAGATTTCCCTCCAAATCAGTTACAATGATTCAGATTTCCCGCCAAATCAGTTATATTTATTCATTCTCAATGACACTTCAAAAAAGGTGTGGTTTGTATAAGGTTGCAACCTTAATTTCCTTAATCAAATTAAGGTACACTCCCAAATCTCTCATGTTATACAATTTTGGTGTAAAAATTTTTTTGGATAGGGCGAGAATCAATTTTTTTCCCTAATTATAAAACTTTTCAATTTCAAAAATAAATTAATTCAAATTAACCAGTTCTATAAATACATAACAATATTTAAAATGGATAGCTCATGTTGCAAGATGTGCTGTTTTTAAGATTTGAAATCTATATATATATATATATATATAAATATCATGTAAGCCCAATGGCGTGCTGCTACAGTAAATGTCAACGATTCAAATTGAATCTGGGCCGATCTGACGATCCTAGATGTCTGGTAGTGTTTGAATTTTATTTTTTTTTTATATAAACCGGAATGATCTAAACTTTGAAATGTGTGTACATAAAAAAAAGGTGAATCTTAGAAAAATATAAAAAAAATTATTTTACATGAAAAACATTAACCAAAATACCCCTGTAAAGTTTCAGGGGTATTTTGGTTAATTTTTTTGCCGATTGTTTTTTTACATTTTTATTAGGTGCGTCTTTATGAGAATAACATACACACACCTAAATTTTCAAGTGATTTTGATTTATAAAAAAAAAATTAAACTTCAAACACGCTAATAGGTCGTGACCGTCAGATCAGTCTAGATTCAGTCTGGACAATTGGCGTTTACCGTAGCGGCCAGCTGGTGGGCGTACTGAATCCAATCCCTATATATATATATAAGTCGAGATGAGCAATTAGATTCTTTCCAATATTAAAATAAATTTTTCAAATGATTTTAGAAAAGGGTATAGGTTCTATAAGGTTGCAACCTTAAACCATCCAATTAAGGCGTACCTCCAAAATTTATCGTAGCATGTAATTTTGGTGTAAAACATTTTTAAGATTATCTCAAAATCTATTTTCATATATAATTATAAAAATTATAAATCTAAAAATAGTGAAAATCAAGCAGATCTGTAAATATATGAAAAGCTTGAAAATGGACGATCTAGATAATGTGTTGCAAAGTGAACTATTATGAAACTCAATATTTTTTTATTTTATTTTTATTTTTTTCATATTCATACATCTCGATGTTGAAATGATAATTAGAGGGTTTTTCTAACATTAAAACAACATTCTCCGATGGATTTTTGATAAACTTTTTCCTTCTAGAAATGGGAAAAGTTTATATAGAGGCTAGGCTCTAAGCAAACAAATTAGAGCTTACATCAAAATTTTCATTAGAAGAGGTTGTTTTGATGCCCAAATATCCTAAAATTTATCATCACAACATCAAGATGCATGGACTTGAGAAAAAAAAGGATTTCAAGTTTTGGAAATAGTGCATCTTGTAATACATTTTTAGATCGTCAATTTTTAAGTTATTCGAGTTTTCATAAATATGCTCGATCTACATTATTTCTGAAGCTTTAAATTTTATAATTAAAGATAAAAGTATATTTTAAGGCTAGTCAACTATTTATAGTATTGAAACCACATTTCTCGACACTATTTGAAGATGACCTCTAGTTTGATTGTTTAAAGCCTTGGCTCTATACAAACCACACCGAAATGAAATACATCTTAATTTTACATTTTAAGGTGTCAATCTTATATAAACTTTTTCCTTCAAAAATTTGATTATCTCGAAAACAAGTATGGGCATGTAATTCCCACTGATGTACCGAAATACTAATAATAATAAATAGTTTTAAAATGATCTGTTATTAGAGCAGGCAATGGCCGGTCGGCTCAACCCTAAAAAAGTAGGGCCTGGTCCAAAAACTGTGGCCCAAGGGTCAGGCTAGAGCCAGTACTAGACTGGTTCAACCCTTTTTTTTTTTTTTTTGCTTGGACCAAGCCCTATCCCGGGCCCAGCCCTCTGCCACCCTTATCAATTATACAGACTTACTCATACTGGCTATGAAATAATTTTAAAATGTTTATAGAAATTGACAAATTTTTGTGTCTTTTTCGTATATGATTTTAAAGCTTAATAGTGATTTTACAGGCATATTGATTCTCTCTTATTAGGACTTATTTGTGCATGAGGAAACCACGAGCCTCGAATTTACAAAATCCATGTATTTTGGAAATCAAAAGTTCCTGTCTTGGGTTTTTCAAATGCCCGTGTCCCAACCAGCTTGAAAATCATCGGATTGCTTGCATTCATCTCCATTTCTATTGTTTGGGAATTTCCATATAACTATGGAATTTCAGGTGTGCTATTTATCTAATAAAGGGGTAAAAATCAACAAAAATAACATATAGAACTACCTACTCCCATAAATGAATCCGGAATTTTTTATTTTGAAAACAACAGTCTTCTTGCTATTATTTTTTTCCACCATCCATATTGATCTTTAGTTGAGGCACCTTCTTTTACCGTTCATTTATAAGATGGACATCTTATGCATAAGAGGACGCACATGTTTTGACGAGTCAGCTTACTCACCAAACCCGGGTCCTTTTATTATTGTTTTACCATATTTTGATTAATGCCTTTTTTTAAATCAAATATTTTTTAGCCACCTCAAATGCTAATTTAAATTAAAAAGTAAAAGCAGACAACGTGATACATATTTATTTAATGTCATAATCACATTTAGCCATCAAATATAAAATCATTATCAGGTATAAAATCGCCTCATACTTAAAGTATTTGTCTTGTACTTCTATAAAAAATAGGGGATTGAGAGTCACTCTATTTGACTTTTGATGATTGACATTGCTGCACTAAAAGCCAATAAACATTTATTAAGCAAAAAATTAATAAATATTATAACGGAAATGTATACGATAGGACCACTTATCTTTGATACAAATGGAGTCACAGTCATCATTCGGATGGTTAGTGAAATGCCATTGACCTGCCACAAGGTCCAAAATAAATTTTCACGGGCTTTTGTGATGCACTTTGAATTGTTAGATTTCATATATGATGGATAAGAATAATTTTGACCTCTTTGTACTAAAAAACACACGTACTCATGATTTACAATCCTTTTCTAAATTAATTGCCCCTCTAACGACTTTTAATCGGATGACATCATGTCCACAATATAAAAAGATTGGGTATTTTTTAATTTCTAAAATATATGTAATATATGTTGAAAATAACACAAATAAATTTGGATAAAATGTTCCTTTAACTGTGGGCTTTTGGGGGCTAGACCACCTAATTAGTTGGTCACAATGGTTTAAAAACCGGATCGGTGACCCGGATCGGGTTTTTCAAAAACCGATCCGGATCGGCGAATCGGCAATCCGGATCGGCGAATCGGCG